TTGCATCACGTATAATTGTGAAAAGCAGGTCTTAGAAGCTGCATTAAAATTCAGTGCCATTGAATCAATCAATTATCTGTAAGACCAACTCATACAGTTAAGCAGCTCAATATAAGATGGCAAAAGAAATGCGCACTAATGCAGAGTGTTATTTGTAAGTATCAATCACTATCTGAGAAACAAACATTCACCTTTAATTTAGTTTTCTTTTTTTCTATTCCCGTATATCCATCTGTTTTCCGAGATAGTATTTACCAAGATGTAGAGCCTTCATGGAGGGATAAAAGAGAAACGAATGAATCACTCGCTAATATTTTAATATCTAGTCAGAAAGTAAAGGTTAGGCCCATGGTGTTGTCATCCTATGGTTTGCTTTTTGATACGGACATATCTGACACTAACAGTAATTTAAAAAAGTTAAACCTAACCTTCTCTAATAAAATGCTATAGTTGTGTCTGTTCAGTGGGATCCCAGGTGTTCCATATGGGAAGTGGGAATCACTATTTCCACTAGAAAACATTGGATTGAGTTATGGTGCTCCGAAAACATTAGTTGCCTTTTTGAATGCCACAGTTTGTCTTACTGTCCACACGTAAAACACGGGTCCTTTTCAGAAGGCCTAATTGTGATACAACTGGGATCACTTAGTTTCGTTCCTCCAATCCGATGAAGCCTACATCTTTCCCCGACACATCTTGATACCCAATTCATGAATGTTAACTCATCACTGAATCTGAATCTAGGGACATAGATGAGGCGTAGGATGCAAGTCATTGCATTCTAATTTGGCTTGGAAAATGATAAAGAGAGAGACATGTACAACGTACCCCTGCTTTGGGCTTCTGCAGAAGGACATCGTCCGAGGAGAATCCGGCAGACTCCAAAAACAACGGAAATGGCTTCTTTGAGAAAAGCATACACATTGTCAGCAACCTCAAGAGATCATGCAACTCCGCCATAATTTCGGAGCCTTTAAGTTGAACACAATCACTTCCCGCATATACACTTGCAACTCGTAAATTACCCTGCAAGTAATCTCATGCCGGTTAAAATCTCAAATCATACAACAACACAATCGATTTTGAAACTCAAGACTTCAAGATTCAGCTTCAAATTCAATGTTGAATTCGTCGAACTGAAGTGAAAAATCGTGCACCAATGCACCATTCCCAAATGAACGGAACGGAAATTGGATTCAGCAGACGCACCTGTTTGCGCATAAAGTAATTAATGCCAAATGCCAAGTCACCGATGGGCCATTTACCCAAAGTCTCCGAATAGGTAAACCTCAATGTTTCTGATAACATAATAACCGATTCTAACAGAGTCGCCGGAGGCTGAGCCGGCCTTCGCGCAAGCCTTCTCCTCCGTAACGGTCTCCTGGATTTCGATAAATCCCCGTTAGGAACCTCGTTTTCTTCAGCCTTCCTCGCCAGGCTCCTAGTCAATACATAGTAAAGCATCGCCGCCGCTCCGGCTGCGGTCACCATCGTCCCAGCCCCCATGAAATGAGTTCCGGATCACTGAGAAGAAACTACTAAGCCAGAATCCAGAAAAGTAAATTCTAATCATAAGCAGAATCACCCAACAACTATACAACAATCGATCAGTATCAAACAAAAAAAAAAAAAAGAGCTTGATTGTGAAGGAGATGCGAGCAGTGAACACAAATCTTGTGATGCGGAAAAGGAAACCGTGTGAACAAAATCAAAGGAAACGAAGAAAGATTTCAATTGAGGAAGAAATGAAGTAAGTACGTTCTAAAGGAGGTGGTGATTATTTATTTATGAGTATACCGGGAAACATCATATTCAGATGTCCGCGAAGGGACCGGGAATTATCATATTTTAGGATTTAACTCTATGCCCCAGAGGAAGAAATAATGGGATACTAATTTTTGTCTATCATTAAGAAAGAAACATAATTTAAAACATTTTCAGAATAAACGTGAATAACATACTAGGGATTAATTAAATAGTAATATTATTTTTGTTAAGAGAACTTTTTATTTGATAGATTAAATATTTAATCTAACAATGTGCATTTTGAAATTTAACCGACTAGTATTTACAGGCAATGCAAATTAATAATGAATTTCTACTTCAAATTTAATTTATTATTATGAAAATTAAAATATTTCAACAAAAGTAAATAAAATTCCAAAAATATTATACTTTAATCAAATGATCATATTTTTTGTAAAGAATTTATTGATTATAGTGAACTGTGTTCATTTGAATAATGGAGAAGCAATAACGTGTTTCATCAGGTTTAGTTAATTTATTAAATTATGAATATATTTTGTCTATGAAAAAATTGGAAAAATCCCAAAAAAAAAAATACCACTTAAATTTTAAAATTTCAAATCATTCTGCACCTAAAAAGTAAATGACAACACAATTTTATACAAATTTATGATTTTAAATTTGAAATTAAAGTGGTATTTTTTCAATTTTTCCTAAAATTTTTTTATGAATTTAATGAAGAATATTATTAAAATGAGCACTTTCGTTAGTTGTCTTTTGTGGGACAAATATAGAAAGCGGTGGGTCCATGTTGCAGTCAAGGCTCGCGGTGGAATATGATTGGTTGGTAGGTGGAACCAACTCAACGATGCCCAGTATAATTAACTAGATAATAGATCATTTTGGCCTAAACAAAAAAGGTATATGCAATATTTTATATATATATATATATATATGGATTATCTTGTAAAAGGTCAACTTTTTAATGCTGAAATCTCAAAACTATTTTTCTTTTTAATTTAATCCTAATATAAAATTTTAATCTATTTTATTTTTTATATTTATTTATTTTTAAAAGTAGTCATTGTAATAGTTGTATATATTAAACGTTCCATCAAATGATAATCCTAACTAATACACATGATTAGTAAGGATATTTTAAAAAAAAAATAATACATATTTTTTATAAATAACTATCTTAACAAATTTTTTTAATCCACTCAAATTAATTAACTAATTTTTATATTAAAGAGAAGAGGTAATATTATATTATTGCGAGAGAGGGGAAACATACTCCTCAGTTAGTTAAATCATATGGATCCTGTTCTACAAAATTATCAATAAGAATGAAAATAAGACATTAATATATGAAACTATATAATACTTTCTATTATTAGCAAATAATACAAGTCAATTAAAAATAGGAAAAAATATGTATCATGAAGAAAATCTGTCTGATTTCTTTTCCCTTTCGCCAAAACTACCATGTTTTAATTAAAAATAATTCAATCACGATTTCAATTTATTTACCCTTTCTTTGTTATTCAAGAAAATCATTGTTTTTACGCTATTCATTAATTTTTTATATCACGCCGACATACTTATTTCATTTCATATAAATTTATTGTCATACTTAAAATATTTTAACCATTTATATAGATGATACATACCCATAGATTTCATAAATATTTAAAAATAATCAACCCCTTCTTCGTAAATGTTTGCTTTGTTGAACTGTAATTTTTTTTTCCAATCCATTGATGAGTTTAATTTTTGAAATACTGATCATATTCGACATTTCAAAATTTTAAACATAATTAACCACTGGTTAAAGAAAGAGATTCTGAACAAAATTAAATTGAAAAGGATGTAGATTTTAAAAAATAAAATAAAATACAACAAGTTTCTCCACAAAATTGGCCACTGATTAGTGTATAGCAAATCCTGCCGTGTCTTCAACTGTGAAAAAGCAAAAACAGCTGTATTCTCTGTTTATCATTCATCGATTGCTAATTCACTGGCTTTGGCTGGCTTCTCAGTATACCATTGTCAACTAGAGGCTGCAGCTCATTTCTTACGAGTTTCTGCACCTTGCGATCTGATGATTCCACAAACGCAGAAATAACCTTACAGCTGCAAATCACAACCATAACAGCAAAACAAGATGTAATTAAGTCCTTCGCAGCCTGCCTAATTGGGTGAGATAATTTATCAAATAATAATATGAAGTTCCAACGAAGCCTACCTGTGACCACGTGCCCAAATCTCGCTCTTCCCTTTTAAGGCTTTGTCCCATAAGGTAGAAGCGAAACTGGGGCAATCCAAAACAAGTTTTCTAATGGTCCGACTGGAATGAAAATTCTCAAGGACATGTTCATCCTCTTCTGATTTTGGTGTTGCTGCAAGAGATGCGATTGCTTCATGAAGCGAACTTATCTTGTCATCCAAGACTGGGCGGAGTATGCCATCACAACCCCCAGTTGCAACCTGCATCATTCTCAGATCACAGAAAATAAGACTTTCAGGTGACAAAAAATCTATACAACTCACAAAATTGACGAATCACCGATACCATATTTACTACCTCGTAAATGACATCTTTGCCAAAATTTGATTGTATAAATTCTCCAGCATTCTCAATACATAGATCAATGAGACTCTGCATGGTAGTCATTTACCCAATCAAAATGTAAATCATGATTCGACATCAAAAAGAAGGGGACGATTTATTTAAGAAAATAAGAAAAGAGGGAAATATGACTATGAATAAGGATGAAAGAAAGGAAGGTAAAAATTATTAGAATGAAAGCTAAGGTACCCCACCCACCTCTGCAAGTCCACTCTTGATCAATAGTTCTTGCCTTCTAACAAGTGGATCCTTTTTCCCACTCTCAACTAGGTGAGAATCCTCCCCAGAAGTTTTATGTTTATCGGCTTCACCTTCCATGTCCGCCTCAGCGTCCTTGTCACTATGTTCTTCAACCTTAGAAGTTTTATCTTTATTGACTTCATCTGCTGTCACTTCCATGTCCTCCTCAGCCTCCTTGTCACAAGGTTCTTCAACCTTGGAAGTTTCATTCTGAGTGCCCACTTCTGAGCGATCCTGAATGAAATTCAACTGAAATGAGACTTCGCTTCTTTAGATCTCAGAAAACAAGAAATAGCATCATTACTGACCTTGACAAGAAGTGATGGTATATATGAATTCAAGGAAGCAAGGTCATCAGGACTGAAATAGCGGGAACAATTAGGATGAAGCAATTGGAGTAAAACACACCGCCCAGTCTGAAAAAAATCACAAATAAAACACAAAAGGAGTTAGGAGTTATAAAGCCAGAAAGCATTAAGAGCCAAATCATAAGAAGCAAACAAGTATATGATCCGTCCACGTTATTTTGGGGAGGGTTAGTCCCTATCACTTGATAAAAGATATATTATGTCTTTTATAAGCATTAAAGTTAAAGAGAAAAAGACCATAGAAGACACCTTATCCAAAACAAGCTCCTTTAAAAATCTTTGAAGCTCAGAAATGATAGCCTGTAACGAAAAAATTTTTAAACCTTAATATGAGATGGACATTCTTTAGATATACTCAATAAAGAGAAAAGCAGCACAAGAAGCAACCTTTGTTATCAGTTTGTGTCATCAACAACTGAAATTATGCAGACTAGCACCTGAAAGTATAACGATAACCCATGGTAATTTAATTTAAGCATATTCAAATTTAGTCAGGTCATAACTGGTCATTTCCCTTAAAAATTGACCATTTCAAAAACAATATTGACAACAAGTAATTTAATGATGCTATTATATGACAAGCTATGCCTTGGCTACAAAACATAAACCCTAAGTCACATTCCTTACCATGCATCCATATTTGTGATAAGCTATTTTGTCTATGTGGCCTTTCATTCCTTTGATAATCTTCTTCCTTTCCTAAAATGGAAAGTCAAAAGAACAATCACATGTAAGAATAAAGTCATCAAAAGGCACCGAGTTTAGTTGACTGTGCAGGACACTGCTAAACAAATACCTTGGCACTCCCATGCTTTACACAAAGAATCCCAAGTTTGGCCCCATCCCTTGTACCAATCATTCTAACCAGGAGCGGACTGGACAGTTGTTCTATTATATCTCTGACAGAGGACTTTTCACAAATTTACTTTAGATAACAGGAGAGATACGGCCACAGCCAAATTTCTTAGTCATGATACAAAACATGCAGAGTTAATAAGGGAAGGGTAGAGAAGAACCTGATCAGCGATGCTTAAATATTCCGTCAATAGTTTGTGTATTATTGAGTGGTCAACTATTCCTTTCTCTAAAATTGGTTGGATCACTGATGTCATATGTCGCAAAACTGAAACTTTCTGAAGTCCTAACTTGGAAATTACATCTACTAACCTGATATGAAGTTAAAAGTCATGAACTGATTGGAGCATTAGAGAAAGATAAAAACTATTATTGGAAAAAAGGAAAAGCAATTAATATTGACTAAGGATACAGAGCTTCTAAAGGCCAAATGTAATTGATCAATCCAATCAAACTCAATGAAATAGAGCACGTATGTGCGAGACATCAAGAAAAACACAAGAAATGTTTCATCTTTGTTATGTGCAGAGGATGGATTTGACGTTTTGCAGGCAATATAGTTTCCAAGAGAGCAACCAACCAACTATATATTCCATATCCCGGTAGTTATTTCTCCTCAATATGCTGGTACTTTTAAAAATAATTGATGATAAATGAGAAACTTAAGAGAGGTTATTAATGAAAATCTTCTATAACTGCTACAGGTTCTAAGCGCTGAACTTTTACCTGCCTTCCTTCAAGGAGACAAGGTCCTTAAATAACTGAAGCTCTGTAGAACATAATTCCAATAGAAGCTCTTGCTTTTGGGCCGCATTGGCTAATTCATAAGCATGCTCAACAACTGTGTAACATGGAAAAGCACAAGAATTATTGTACGGAGGTTGCATTTCGCAAGATGCTGTCAACATGCATTTTTGACAATTTATATCTTATGAATAAAATTTCAGCAGAAAGCTAAGTTGCATGAGGGGAAAAATCATTGGTTTTTATTTACTATTTGTTTCTCATTCTTTTAGACCCTTTCCCATCCTCAGAGTTGTTACAAATTTACAAGTCCATATATTGCCATACACAATAAAAATCAGATGGCAAAGTGCTCCATTGAATCATCACAGGCTCTGAAAAATATCTCTACCAAATACATCAGAAGCCAAAAAGACATATTGTACATACCAACTGATCCAACCATGTGACGAAGAAGAGAAGCAACATGCCCATGAAGAGAGGAGATAAAGCCTGCAAGCTGTTTCTTCGAAGCTGAAAGACAAGGGTGCCAGGTTAGAATAAAAAATGACATAAAACAAGATTATATGACAAGTTATGAAGCAAAATTTGAATATTAAATATATTAAAATTTTCAAGTTGATAATTACCATGGTCCAGCATCTTTTTTACTAAGTGAACCGCATATGCGTTGTATGAAAGAGTTATAAAATGCGGACAAAGCTCTTCAAATACTGCATCTCTTTCAGCTTGTGAACAATGCTTAACACATGTCTGTTGATGAGGAAAGAAACAGTTAAAACTACAAGTAGTTTTAGAATAACATAAAAATTGATATTAGGATGCCTTGGACTGAAAAAGAAAATATATACCTGAAGAACACGAGAAGACACATGAGACCCAGCAATCTCAGGAATTTTCCCCTTCATCTTTTGCAAAGCTTCTGTCACCAGCCTTCTCAGACAATACAAGTAAAGCAAAACGAGAGACAACAGAAGGTGGGGGGAAAATTTAACTTTCAGCATGCTTCGGCCTTCGAAGTAACCATCAGGTTATTAAAATTAGTTTAAAGGAACATACTTAGCCTTATCCTCTTTAGCAATATCACGGCGTCTCATTTTCTCCCACAGACGTGCTAGCTCCTGCTCAAATTAGTGTATTTCGTGATGAGTAGCATGTCTAGCAATGCTACTAAAATGAATATCGCGTGCATAAAACTCACTTGTTCAAGTGTGTAATGCCGCTTTCTTTTCTTCTTTCTAGCCTCTGCAAGTTCCTGCAATGACACAATTGATGCAACTAATCGAAGTAAGTGATCTCCAACTGGTTGGCCAACTAATTTCAAACACAATAAATCATCCGAAGTTGCCACCTAACCCTTAAAAAATACTTTTTACAAAATCCATACTAGCTGTTTTCCAGCCGATGAACAGACACCGAAAATTACCTTCTCTAATAATCAATTCCAAGACTTTGGTAGCATAAACAAATATACTCACTCACGCATAAGTCATGACTAACGTAGATAATCGCAAATAAAAATGCCTGCGGCATATTTTAGCATCACAAGTTCCTCCAGATTGTTATAAATTAACTATAAGTAAATGACGAAACCTTGGCGTGCAATCGACGTTCTCGAGCTGTAACCGGAGCTTTCTTCTCTTTACCATCTGTAACATTGTGTCCCTTTTTAATGAATTTCGTGGGCTTCCCAGAGGCCTTGTTCTTTGAAGGGAAGGAAGGTTTTGAGGCAGCAAGCTTGGGCACCTTCGAAGGAGATGGTTTGTCTGCTTCGGTGTTAGAACCTGGAATTCGCTTTCTCTTTTTGGTCTTGTCGACCTGTTGCTTCTTCGCCGCCATGGATGCCGATCGAAGCCCCAGCGCTTCTGTTCTTTTCGGCGTCCCACTGAGACTTCGCCACTGCGGTGAGGTTTATTAGGGGTTTTGGGATTAAGTTCAGGAACACTGCATTATTCTTTCTCTTTATTCAAGAAAAAACCAAAAACAAAACTAACTTCCATCTCATTTTAAAATTTTAATTTATCGAAACCAAAAAAAAAAAATTTAATTTAGTCTTGTTGAAATAATTTTTAGTAAAAATTGACCGCATTAGAACCCATCTGTGCAACACAGTAATAATTTTATTTTTTTTGCCGGAATTACAAGTTATGTATCATTGTGATCTTCTTCCTTTACCAAAGCAATTATTAAATATATAATTTAATTCCATTTTATTATTTAAAATTTATTTTTTTAAAAACTGTCCTTGTTATTACACATTTGAAAGAAATCTCTATCAATGAGTAATTTATAATATAAATAATTGATAATTAAAGGATTATTAAAAAAACAACACATTTTTTTATAAATATGGGTATTTGGGACACCTAAAATCATTTAAAAAATTGTTTTTACATGAGCCAATACAAAACTCATCTGATATATTTACTTCGTATATTATAAAAATATTTTGAAAATAACAATTCGGTTTTTACCCAAACACCCCCTAAAATGTTGCTAGAATTGATACATAAAATGTTTCTAGAGCATAGGATGATAAGTCTCACATCACCTAAAGTCCTAGCGCTCACAGGGTTTAAATATCCTTTGAGTATCTCCTACTCACGAACTAGCTTATGGGTTGGACTCAAGGGCCTAATATAGTATTAGAGCTTAGTTGCGGAGAGGGTGAAGAGCAGTGGAATGATAAGTCCCACATTGCCTGAAATCCTGACGCCCACAAGGTTTAGATATTCTTTAGGTACCTCTTACTCACGAGCTAGCTTTTGAGTTGGATTCAAGGGCTCAATGTGGTATCAGAGCCTTGGTTGTGGGGAAGGGTGAAGAGCGATGGGATGATAAATCCCACATCACCTAAAGTCATGATGCTTACAGATTTAAATATCCTTTGAGTATATCCTATTCATGAGCTCTTTTTTTTTTTTTGGGTACAAAGGAGGGCTTAAAGCCCAAAAATAAAACTAAGAGAGATGGGGATCAAGTCTCAAACAATTATTATAGCACAGGCTCCTTATATCAGTAAGAGGAGTCTCAAGAAGCATCGACTTGGTAAGTCCTCTTTGCCAGTTGGTCCACGATTGTGTTATGATTCTAGCCACATGTTCAAGCTCAAAATTCCCAATCATATAAAACCCGTGGGATTCGGCCCCATTAACGAAACAAAATATTGTCATTGATGTTCTAAAAAATCACCTGATTTTCAGTTTTGGCCCATTGAATTTTTTTTCCTATTGGGCTTGGTTTTATTCATGCCTGACCAAAATGATATACTAGTATTTCATTATAATTTTTAACTTTTCAAGCATTTTATTTTCCTATTCTGAATTGAATTGAGTTTTTGCACTATTATAGGAAATTAAAGAAATCAACTTCACATTTTTTTTATTTATGAGATCATTATATCATTGTGTTCTGTTGCATTATATATTGGTATAACTGGACAACTTTTCACATTAACTCAAATCCACTCACATTTACACATCAAAATAAATTGATCTATATAAAATGAACAACTAATGTACAAATCTCTTTTTTTTTAACCAAAAATAGTTATGATTTGACAAATGTTTGTCAATTGAGAAGAATTAAACGCATACCCATAATGGCAAAAATCTAAATCCTATCCTATATCATTACTATAACAAGATCATAAGTAATAGGTAACTTTTAATCATATTTATAAACCACTGATATTTGCTTTATGTAAAAACAGGAAAGAGTATAATATTTAGGAATTTCACATCGACTTTCAACTTTTATTAACAAAATTACAAAATCCGTCAGATAGTGATATGCTAAATGTCTATTCAGTAAGGAGACTTGTATGGTTGGTACAAGAAAAAATGGATAGAATTGAAGAGTACGTATGGACGCGTCAAAGATTAAATCTTTTTTTTTCTTTTTTTTTATAATTTTTTTGTCAAACCCAGCAAGATCCAGCTTGCAGCAGGAGATCCAGCTCAGCTTTAGCCCTTATCCATGAATTTCAGAAGGATTAGTACCATAATAAGAAACCAAGAAAGCTATATACGTGACTACGTGTGTGTAGAGAGAGAGGGGGGGATAATAGCTGTAAAAGAAAAAAAATATGATGTCTTCGAAATATCTTGAATGCTCATTCCTTTTAAAAATTAAGAAATAGATTTTTAATTTTTGCAAAAAATAAGAATGAGATGGGAACCAAGTCGTATGTACACAGTATAAACTTGGTCGCAAGAAGGGGGTAAAAAATGACCAGACCCTTAAGCAAAGGAGACTAATGATGGCCTGCAAAGGTTGGGTCCGACTGGTCGCAAACGGGGGCGCAAGGCGCGTTCTCCTACCGGGTCATGGGCTCGATTCCTGGCGAGGCACCCTGGGATTAGTCTGGCCGATACGCTGGGATACCCTGAGTTAGCGATAACATCCTACTCAAAAAAAAAGGAGACTAATGATGGCCAGCCAAAGGGGGAAAAAAAAAACGAGAGCTATTTCGGGACCATGTGGGGATATCGTCCTTATGCGAGGAAATAATGGGAAATTTTGGTCGTTTGCTTGGCACGTTGGAGCTAGCTAGCGTAATTAGGTGGGGTGTGGCATTTGAAACCAAAACGTAGTGCTGCCACATGAAAAGGCACTGATCATGGGCCATGCGTAATATTAAACAAGATACGAGTACCCCCTTTGTATTTTTCAATAGAGATTTTTTAACCACTGCTTCTCAGAAGTGATTAGGTTAAAATAGGTTAGTTGCGTCAAATATACCTTAAATTTGAATTGAATTTTTTAATTGCTCACATTCAATAACGATCATTAAGTTTTTTGTACTTTTACCCTCATTCCAATAAGAGACATTTTGGGTTTGAAAAAATTAACAATTTAGATTGTTTCCAAAGCATTTTATATTTTTTATCAAGAACCTAACAGATATTCTATATAATTTTTTGCCATGGGTTCTCATTTATGTGCACATCATTCAAAATTTGATTTGCAATTTTTTCAATGATTAATTTTTTAAAGAAATACCAATTATAAAATTACGTTCATTTTTGAATTCTGTGTCTTTTAAAATACAAAAGTTTATTTAAAACATAGTACAAATTTAAATTGAATCTAAACCATTCAAAATTAATCTGAATGATCTAAATTATGATAAGCATGAAATATGTTCTCATGTCCTTTATTAAAGGGTTCCAACTCACGGCTCTGCACTTCAAAAAAATCTTATGAGGGGTGTTTTAGTGTTATTTGAGGTGTAAAACATCAAGAAATAACCCCCATGAAGAAAGATTAAAAGGAACGTACCAGTAAAAGGATTAATATGGAACGTAGATTTAAGTGTCACGTAAAGAGATTGATTTTTGTGGAGATATGAAAAATCTAATCTTATTGGAAAAATGAATGGAAAGAAATGCTAGAACAAAAGGTCACATATAAAATATTTTATTCAATTCTTATTATAAGTTTTAAATAAATAATTAGTTAAAACTAATAAAAAAATAAATAAATAGACTATAAACAGAATTTTGTTTCCGAATATGCTTTTATAATGATAAGAAAAAATGAAAAAGAATGTACATGAAAATATGATAAAAGATAATAATTAATAGTAACAATAAAAAATGTATCAAATACTATGACAAATTCAAATTAAAAACTCATAAAATAGACCACACTACTTATTATATTTAAAGTTTATAAATAGAATTAAAAGAATAATTAGGAAGAACAATATATGTGTGTACAAAGAAAAAGGGCTGAAGAGAGGGATGGGGGTGGCGGGGAGAGACTGGGGGAGGTTGGGATGTTTGTGGTGGGAGAAATAAATGATTTTGTTGTGTGGCGCATCATTTTCATTCAATGAATGTAACAGTAGGGTGTGTTTGTGTGGAGTGTTGCGCATTAATGAGTACAGGCCAAAGTGTTCAGACTTCCCATTCTTCTTTAGTGTATAATCAAGCACGTCCTTCTGATCTGCCAAGAGCTGTGCATTTATTGTCGAATTTCAATGCCCTCATTCAAGTTTAGCTACCTTCAGGAACACCCCTCCACATTAACGGCCCTCTCATCGGCAGCTCCCACCCATAATTACTTTATATTTCTATTTTTTCTCTGGTGATCTGGTCCATGTTTTTCCCCCAACCTGCTCGTTTGCGCACCAAACAACGTACTCCATCTTAAGTAATTTTAGTACTGATTCTTAATATAAAAATTTATTTGATTTTTATTTGATTTTAAATATATAAGATTTTAATTTATTTTATCTTTTATATTTTTTTTAAAAAAAATAGTACTATAATGATGGTAGTTACCTTTGATTGGTGCATGGATTTTAGGAAAAACAACAGTTATTTATTATAAATAACTAACTTAATTAGTTTTTTTAATTTACTCAAATTAGTCAACCAATTTTTATACTACCTTTGGTCATAATTATAAGAGCTAATTGACTAATTTCAGGAGGTTAAGGAAAGAAGTTAAGTTAGTTATTTGTAATAAATAAGTGTTATCTTTTCTAAAATATCATTGCTAATCAAGTGTATTAGTTAGAACTACTATTGTTAAAAGGACTACATTAGAAAAAATGCATAAATATAAGAGACAAAGTAGATTGGGATTTTATATTTAGGACCAAAATAAAAGTCAAATAAAATCTTATATTAAAGACCAGATATAGTATTAAAAACTGGAAATAGTATTATGCAAGTGTCTCCTTAATTTTTGATTTGATTTAAGTGAGAAGCTGCGAGTTCAGCATAACGGTGCATAAGTTTCTTTTGTTGGATGGGAAAAAAAAAACATCTATAACATATAAATAAATGATACTACCTCCGGTCCTTAATATAATATCTTATTTGACTTTTGTTTTGGTTGTAAATATAATATCTCAATCCACTTCGT